CTGGAAGCGGGGTCCGGGCTCTGCGGTGGCAGCGGCAGCCCGCTGACCGCCTTTCTCTTGATTTGCCTTCCAGGACTTGACGTTCCTGACCAAGCAGGAGATTGTGCAGTGAGTGCACAATCCACTTCTGAGGCTCCCTCGGGCTCCCCTGAGGTGGATTCGGATGCGCTGGGGGAGCTGCAGGGCCGAAACTGGAGGCCACCCTTCAGGATCCAGGAGAAGTTGGGCGTTATTTGACCCTGCACGCCCCTGGCACCTGCCCCCCTCCCAACTTCCTGGCCCGGGCCCGGCAGCCCTGCCCCTGCTCTCTGCGGACTTTGCCCCCTAGCAAAACCAGAGACACCTTAGGAGCTTGGCGCCACTTTGCTCCGACTTTACCTGAGTAATACAATAACCGTTAACGCCTATGGAGCACTTAGCGCGCCAGCAGCTGCTCCAAGGGGTTGCCGGCTTTACCTAATCCCGTTTTGAGGGGGGAGGTACAGAACAAACAAGCAGGCTCTGAGAGGTTGAGTGACTTGCCTACGACTGCACTGGGAGGAAAAGGACTGCTATGGCCCACGGGCCTGGAGAAGGAGTTTCCTGGGCTTCACTGGGCAGAGGCTGGATCTAGTTCAGGGCTTTGAGGAGCAGGAATCCCGGGAGGGAAAGGGAGAATGGGAAAGTGGTTTTGCCCTTTTCTCCCTGGTGTTCGTGGACAGCGTTTGGCCCCCTCTGGAACCTCTCCATCCCGCAGGGATCTCTGGAAGGAGCCTTGTGCACAGTAGTCTCTTGGTAAAGACCAGTCACAAGAAAGGGCTCCCAGCCTGTGTCATAGCTCCCTTCGGCTGACCGTTGCCCAGTGACTCAGAAGTTCTGTGTGTGTGGCTTAGCTCCACCTGGTTTATAAGAGGCAGCAAGGCAAGGAGTGGGGGTGTAGTGCACACAAGGAGACCTGAGAGGAGAGCACCAGCGACTTCCCCTCTCTCTGCTAGAGCCCACAGGCGGTTTTCTGAGCTGCTTCCTCGGGAGAAACAGAGCATGGAGGACTCACTTCGGGAACGAGTGTCCTTTGAGGATATCCTCAGCCTTCCAGAGCTCAAGGTGCAAGCCCTTCACTCTCTTCGTGCACCTTGCTTTGCTAGTTCCTTAAGTCTTCCTGCCACTCACTGCAGATCATGGGTCCCTGCTTTCCATTCTGTTTGCTTTTCTCTTCCATCCTTTTCTCTTCTCCATTTTTTTCTTTCCTTCCTTTCTTTTCTTTCTGGGTTACATAGTGAGTTCAAGGCCAGCCAGAAAGACATAGTGAGACCCTGTCTCAAAAATAAATAAGCCAAGCATAATGGTGAATGCCTGTAATCCCAACAATTGGGAGGCTGAGGCAGGAGGATTGCTGCACAGCAAGTCGCTCTCTCAGAAAACAAAAAAACAAAAATACATAAATAAAATAACCAGCCCCTGGCTTTGGCTGCCTTCCCTGTCCTACCTTCCCCATTACGTTACTTATGCTTTTGAGCTGAACTTCCAGGAAGCCATCCCATCCCTTCCCCAGCTGCTAGTTGGCTCCTGTACCCCGAGCCTCCTGAGCTCCACAGTGCTGGTACTGCAACCTATTCCTCCAGTTTCTAGTGGGGTTGTAGTGAGTGTGTGACTTGGGCTGCATCTGTGGCCCTTACAAAGGCTCTCATTCCCAGGCCAACCCCTTCAAGGAGCGAATCTGCAAGGTCTTTTCCACATCCCCTGCCAGAGACAGCCTGAGCTTTGAGGACTTCTTGGACCTCCTGAGTGTGTTCAGTGACACAGCAACCCCAGACATCAAGTCCCACTATGCCTTCCGCATCTTTGGTAAGAGCCCAGGGGGTTGGTTGCCTGCCCCATCCACACAGCCTTCGAGGTGGACCTGCTTGGGAAGTGGGAGCCCCTGGTGCAGCCGCAGAGCCTTTCCTGACTACTTCCTTTTTGGCTTCCTGTGTGTACTCACCAGACTTTGATGATGATGGAACTCTAGACAGAGAAGACCTACGCCAGCTTGTGAACTGTCTCACGGGAGAGGGTGAGGACACTCGGCTCAGTGCTTCAGAGATGAAGCAGCTCATTGACAATGTGAGTGGTGGCCTGGCTGGGCCTGGGCACCCTGGGCACAGGAGGGCAGGGCTGGGGCTCCAGCCTAGAGCTCTCCTGTTCCCAGATTCTGGAAGAGTCCGACATTGACAGGGATGGGACCATCAATCTCTCTGAGTTCCAGCATGTCATCTCCCGTTCGCCAGACTTTGTCAGGTATGACGGTGTTCCCCCTGCCTTCTGGGTACCCATAGGTCTTCATCTGGTGCCTCTGGGTCTGGGATGCTATTATGGAAGGTGGTACTGAGAGAGCTCTGGGTCCCTCTGAATGTCTCAGGTCACTCTTCCAGTGGGTAAGAGGCCAACATACCCAGATGTAGCTCATTCCAAAGAAAGGTCTTAGGGAAGAAGTAAGAAGTTTAGGTTTAGTTCCTTCCTTTCTCTTTTATCAGAATACCCAGTTTGGGCTGGTTGTGGCCTGGTGGTATAGTGCATGGATAATATGGGTGAGGCCCTAGGATCTGGATCTGTCCTCAGCATCAAAAAGCAAGCAAACAAAAATCAAAGAGGAAAAGGAACGGGGAAAAGAAAAATCCAGCCCATTCTTTTCTTGTGCAGCTCCTTTAAAATCGTCCTGTGACTGCAGCTCCAGCGTGTACCTCAGCACGCTCTGTCCAAGACCTTCCCACTGCTGAACTGTGGCCAAGGTCATGCCCACATCGTCGGGGCCGGCCAAGCCGGCCCAGCCTGGAGCTGGCACTGTGCAGCCCTCGGCCAGGGCAGAGGGGCTCCTGCTTCTCACTGCTACTGTCATCTCCATTTCTACTGATCAATAATAAAAATTTAGAAGTTTTGACCCCTGTTTGTGATACTAGAAACATTGGTGGGGAAAGACTTGGCTTCTAGAAACCTTTGATTTTGCTAGGAATAAATCACATCTAAAGAAAGGGCCAGCAGGAAATCAAGCTACACTCCCCACCCCCACCCAGCAAATTGGGGGAATTCTCCCTCATCTTGATTATGGTGCTCTTTACATGAATTTCTACGTTTTCTGTGTTCTTTTTTTATGAGTGTGTGGTTTTTCATTTTTGAGACAAGGGTCTATGCCTGGAATGATCTCAAACTCCTGGGTCCAAATGTTACCCACACCTCAGCCTCCCAAGTACCTGGGACCACAGGCACCTGCCACCCTGCGCAGCAATGTGTTGAAACTTAAAGGTACACTAAAGAAGAAAGTCAGTCTTGCCAAATCATCACTTGAAAAATTAAAAACTGCAAAGTTAAAAAAAAAAAAAAAGTTTCTTGCTGAGCATGCTGGTACATACCTTTAATCCCAGTACTCAGGAGGCTGAGGCGGGAAGATTACTGTGAGTTCAAAGCCAGCCTGAACTACATAGTGAGACCTTGTTTTATAAAAACAAAAAAGTATGGTAGAACACTTGCCTAGTGTGGATGAGGCCCCTGTGTTCAGTCTCTTCCACAAAATAAATAAGCATGGAATAAAGAGGTTGGGGTGAATGGAGTCAACCCTGCCACAGGAAGTGCAGTGCATTGGGCAGTCAGCAGGCTGAGCTGCTTCTGGCTCCCTGGGGCCTGGAGAGCAGAGGTTCAGATCCCCCAGCAACAGATCAGTCTTAACAGTAGAAGTCTTTTAAGAAGAATGATGATTAAACAATTCTTCAGATTTTATTTAAAAAAAGAAAAGGTAAAGTGCATTTTATTAAAAATATATATAAAACCCACAGAATTCAGGGCCCTGTTCTGGGCAGTGTGAATATCCCTTAGAGTGGAAACAAGTGAGGGAACCAGGCCAGGGAGAAGCCAGGCTCCAGTGAGTTCCATGTGCTTGAGTTTGAAGAGGAGCTGACGTGGTGCAAAGGGACACACGGTTCTCAGGCTGGGATGAAGGCAGGCAGTCAACAAACAGTCTCTTCCTGAGGGGAAAGGCCTATGTGGTCATACGCTCCCAGGCTCATGCTCCTCCTCTGTGGCCACAGCCTGATACAGGCTGGAAAGGTCCAGGAGCAGGTTCTGAGCCTAACGTCTGGGGAGGGCTGCAGAGCCAGCCAGCCCTCTGGTCCCTGAGGTGCAGGTGATGGTGCCAAGCTACATCTGGCTGGCTGGCGTGAGCTGGCCACCAGCTCTTGTAAGAAAGCGTAGTGAGGCGGGGCTAAGGTGAAGGTGGAAGAGGCCAGTTGGCGCAGGGTTTTCAACTCTGTCCCATACCACCTGGGGTATGTTCCCAGCGGTTCTGGGAGGCAAGGGAACTGGGTGGCTGTGTGTGTGGCATCTCCGTCATCTCCTGCGCCCCCTGGTTTCACATTTTCAGCTGTTTTTTAAACAAAGGGCTCAGTGTACATAGGAGCATTGTCCTACCTACCCAGGCAGGCCTCTAGCCCTGGAAGGTAGACCCCGCTCCGTTGAGAACCATCGGGGCACCTGGCTGGGCAGTAGCAGCCTTATGCAGGGCTGGAGAGCAGCAGGCTGGGCAGGCCCCAAGCTCCTGAGGGGAGGCTCCTGGCTGTGTTCATGAGGCTTGGGGTCCAGCAGACACCCTCTAAGCAGTCATGGCCCTAAAGCCAGGGTGGTCTCATCACACCACAGAGTCACGGATTTCAGAGCCCAGGCGGACCCGGGGCCGAGGGCACACAGGGGACACCTCAACGAAACTGTCCTGGATGCTGAGTGGCCTCTTCTCAGACTCCGTGAAGACCTGAGGCCCTGGGGAGCTATCTGACAGAGCCTGGTAGCCCCGGTGATCCAGTGGGGTGCTGGGGGGGCCGATGCCATTGAGTGGTCGGGTCTCGGGTGGCAGCACCACAGGGCGAGTCTTGGGGTGCACGGTGGCACACTCGCCCTGCTTCAGGAAGACTTTCATGCCGTCTCGGTGCCGGTAGAGGAAGAACAGAAACAGAAGTACCACGGCGAGCCCAAAGAGGGTGCACATCACCAGGAACTCGTTCCAGTAGGACTTGTCCACACCCCAGCTGGACCTGCCGGCAGCTGGCGCACTCACCCGCGATGTGTTGATGATGACAGGGATGCTGCCACCCTGGTCTGTTCGGTGTGCCACTCCGTCGTCCACCACTTCTGGGCAGTAGCTGGCCACCAGCTGCTGGAAGCCCTCCTCTTGTGACCAGCACTCAAAGACCCCCAGCCTTTCCTGGCTGCCCACCAGCAGCAAGTCCCCAGTGGGGAGCACCCGGTAGGATGATGAGGCGTTGACAGGGCCCTTGTCATGGAGCCAGAGCCGGGTGGCCAGGTTAGACAGAAGCGGGCAGGCCAAGGTGTTGACCGTGTTGGGCTGGAACTGGACACGTTCACAGGGCTTCTGGCCTGCGAGCAGAAGAGGCACTGGGTAGAGTGTGCCATGGTCTACAGTGGCCACATGGTGACCCCTCCCTCCCGGTTGTGACAGGCACTGAGGACTCCTAGGACTGTCTCAGGCTCACTTTCCAGGTCCCTGCTCACAGTGGTGAAGGAAGGAGGAGGAAAGGCATCTGTCCCTTGTGTCCCTGGAAGGGCCATCTAGCAGATGGGGTCCCCACCTCTCTCCTGCAGTCTTCAAGGGGTCCCTTACCCACTGTCACGGAAGATGGGGGCTTGGGCCTGGACACGTTGCAGAGCTCCTTGGCATTGCCCCCTTCAACGTCCTGGATCCATAACCTGAGGACCAGAGAGGGTATGGGATCAGCCAGGAAACCCTGAGTCTGTGTCTTTCACCCTTGACGCAGACTCAGGCCTGGGCAAGGGCCCAAGCAGTGGGTAGGAAGGAGACTCCTGAGCTGATTCCCCAGCTCACTGGGCCTCAGTGAACATCTTATCTGCACCTCAATGCAAATGAAAGTTACAGCCTATTTTCCTGGATGACAAAAGCAAAATGTGCTTCAGGACAGCTGCAAGGACTTTCTGGATGTGCATATAAATATCTCTTTGAATAATATACAAGCACTGACTGGCTTCATAAACTTTCAGTGCCAGAGATTAACCAGGAGCATCTACTCCTGAGCTACAGTCTATATTCCTAGTCCTTTTTTTTTAAAACCATTATTTTAAATTTTGAAACAAACTTTCACTAAGTTTTCCAGGCTGGCCTTGAATTTGTGATCCTCCTATCAACCTCCTCAGTAGAAGGAATTACAGGCGTGTATCACCACACCCAGCTCCTATTTAGTTTTTTATTATAAAACAGACACCAGATGTTCCTATATATGAAGCAAGAACACTACAAATAGGGAATCTAATATTCCCATGCCTTAGATGTGTAATAAATTTGTGGTCTTCCTATAAAAAAACTCAACAAAAAAAACTACAAATGAGATAGATCTCATGTTTGTTTAAAACATTTAGATTTTTGTTTACACATATGTAAGAAAAATCAGGGAGGACAAAATGTCAAAAATCTGATCACCCTGGGAGGTGGCAGTTTTAATTTAGTTGTTAGGGTTTTTTTTTTTTGCATATGCTGAACTACAACCTTGGCCCTTAGGTAGTTTTTATATTGGTTATACTCATTCCTGTTTTCTTTTTTTTGAGACAGGGTCTCACTATGTAGTTCAGGTTGGCCTTGAACTCACAATGTAGCCCAGGCTGGCCTCAAACTCCTGCTTTAGACTCCCAAGTTCTGGGATTATAGGAGTTCGCCACCACACCCAGCACAGTCCTGTTTTCTAAAAGGACATTTTATAATCCAAATGTTTTGTTCATGTTTTCTAAAAGGACATTTTACAATCCAAATGTTTTATTCGTTTTTTGTTCTCAGGATCTCCCTGTATAATTCAGGACAATCTTTTTTTTGGTACTGGGGATGGAACTCAGGTCATTGAGCTTGCAAGGCAGGCGGCAGAACCACTGAGCTAAATCCCTGGCCCTAGGCCAATCTTGAACTCTTCATCTTTCTGCCTTGGCCCCTGGAATGCTAGGATTACAAGTACATCCAACTCCCAAATGTTATTTTTTTTAAATTTTGTATTGGTACTGGGGATTGAACACAGGGCCTTCACACTTAGCTACATCCCTGGCCCTTTAGTTTTTATTTTTCTTTTCTTTCTTTTTATTTTTGGTGACAGAGCTCACTATGTAGTTCAGGCTGGCCTTGAACTCACTATATAGCTCAGGTTGGCTGGAACTCATGGTGGTCTTCCTGCCTCAGTTTAAATTCTGGAATCATAGATGTTTGCCACCACACCTGGCTACCAGCCCTTTTAAAATTTGTAGGTAGGGTAGGACCAGGGATTTAGCTCAGTGGTTCCACTGCCTGCTTCACAAGCTCAAGGTCCCGAGTTCCATCCCCAGTACAAAAAAAAAAAAACAACAACAAAAAACAACTTTTAGGTAGGGTATTGCTAAATTCTCTAGACTGGACTTGGAACTTGTGATCATCCTGCCTTAGCCTCCCGAAGTGCTGAGATTCCAGGTGTATGCCACCACTCCTAGTTTAACAAAATGTTTTTAGCCCTTACCTTACTGTTACTAAAATGTGTTCACATGCCAACCAACATTCTCCTACCAAGCTTTTCCCAGCTGTGACCTTTCATACCCTACCAATCCTGTCCCTTCTTCAGGCAGGGAAGGCAAACAGACTACCTGAAAGGAATTGGGGGGCCCTCGGGGTGCTCATGAACACTCACACTGAGACTGGGTGTAAATCAGACCCTGTGCTGGGCCTAGACAGACCTAGGACAGGGGCTTGAAGCCAGGTGCACAGGGACAATGGGCCAGATGGCCTGTGGGAGCTCTCACCTGGAGGCCAGCTCAGGCTGGTAGAGGCTGATGTGCCTGCAGCTGGAGCCACTCCAAGCGCAGTAGGGGTCGCGGGCGAGGACGCAGTCCCCACAGCTCCGGTACAGGCTACAGTTGGCCACAGGCACCTGGACTATGCCGGAGTGGGAAGCCGCATACAGCAGACCCTGCACAGCCAAATCCCAGGGATGGGGGGTGGGTATGGACACCCAGGGCCACCATCCATGGCCATAATGTCCTCACACACCCACTAAAGCCACCCCTAAGTGGTCTGTCATCATCCTGGCACCCCAACTTCCCACATCCATGCCATGAGGCTAGATTCCATAATGCACCTTGCTGGGGCAGGAAAGGAAAAAAGCCAGGCAGGGAGTGCCCAGTACTGAGGGAGAACCAGCCCCAAGCATGTGGCTTGGTTCCTCCCTTGTGCGCTCACCCTGTGGCTGTCCAGGAGCAGGTTCTGAATGGGCTGTCCTGGCGGGAAGACCTGCAGCTCCTCAATGATGTGCATCCTGGGGCCGATGCCTACTGCCTTGTGCAGCCGGCCATCACCTAGGGTGGGACACATCTCAGGCCCTGCTCACCATCTGCTGTCCAGCACCTACCAGCCAACACCCCCACCCCACCTGCCAGGTCAGCTCACCAGTGCCCAGGAAGAGGACATCATAGGTGCGGTCCAGGACGGGGATGCGGTGCACGGCCACACGCTGGTAGCGGGCTCGTGGCTGCAATAGCAGCATCTGGCTGCGCACCTGCCCATCCATCAGGAAGTGGTCTTTGAGGAAGTTCAGCACGCGGTCTGGGAGCTGCAGGGAGGAGTGAATCTTCCGCTCCCGGGCACTGTTGGTGATGCACTAGGGAAGAAGACAGCAGTGTAAGAACAGAGGGGCCCTGTCTCACCAGCAGCGAATCACCCGCGCCCTGCAGAGTTAGTGTGCTGATCTAACAGCCAAGGCCAAGGCTGAGGTGTGGGGAAACCTCATTCACACTGGGCCTCAGGTGCGTGCGCTTCTTCTTCCTCCCCAGCACCTTTCCTTCTCTCCCAGCTCTGAGAAGGCCCCAGCAGAGCACAGTCCTGGGGAAAGTGGGACAGGCCTGGCTGGCTGATGCTCTCTAACCATGAGGGTTCACACACCGGGGGGACTCTCAACCAGTGACACATGGGAGGTGGGGTCACGACTCCAGCTGGCTGCCCTGAGCTGGGCTCACACTGTCTCTGGGCCCACTTCCTGCCACCACAGAGGTAATGGACTGTGTACCCACCTTTTCTCCCTTCCTCCCTCGCACCCTGCCTATTCTCTCACTCTGCTTCCAGGGTCACCTCCCAAGCTAACACGGGCATGAGGATCATCTGAGGGTCTGTTCTAGGGGAGCCCGCTGGGCTGGAAGGAAAGAAGATATGGTCTGGTCACCTGTGACCTGCTGAGTAAGGAGCTCACAGCCGAGTGGAAAAAGGGACCAAGTGAAGGGACAATGTGCACCAAGGGCCCGGATGGGAACTCATGCCCAGCCTGAGACAGAGTAGGACTGAAGACATCTCAGCGTCATCACATCTCACCAGCAGGCCCAGGCATGTCCCCAGTTTAAAGATGCAAAAACATCCAGAGAAGCTGTGCGGTCTGTTGGGGGCTCAACACCAGTGGCCCAGTATGGTGCAGGGCCCCAAGTCCTCCCAACCACGCCGAGTACCGGACACTGGTACCTACCGATCCAGGCCGGGGTGTGGGCACCTGGTGGGTCACCGTGTACCACTGCTGTGTCTCACGGTTCACCTCCTTGTAGAGGCCGTTGAAGGCCCTCTGCACATCATTAATGGAGAAGACGCACACCGCAGAGCCCTCAGTGGTCCCCCCATTCCTGCAACACAGACTGCAGATCAACACGGAGCCCCAGGCAGGCTCCTGGGCCTAGCTCCAGCCGTCCTCCCCGCTCCTGTCCCCAGCCAGGTCTGGGCCGTACCACTGGGAAGTGAAGACCCCGTAGAAAAGGGTTTGGCGCCAGTCCTGGGGACTGGGGCTCAGCGTGAAGACATCCTGCAGCACGTTGAACGGGAAGCCGTCGTCAGGCCGAGAACACAGCAACTGGGCCTTGAGGAAGGACGTCCAGCGCTGCTGCAGCACCCGCTCACCACCCTCATCTCCCTGCAGGAGGGGACAGGCCAGCTGAGGCACAAGCAGGGCTGAGACTGCAGGCGTGACGCTGCCCTGCTGTCTCCTCCCAGTGTTCACTGACAGACACCGAGAAGGAAGGATCAGAGCCAGGACACAGTTCATCTAAAGTCAAGAAAACTTCCAGGAGAGCTGAGCATGGTGTTTCACACCTGTAATCTGGGCACTCTGGGAGGCTGAGGCAGGAGGACTGTGCGTTCAAGCTCAGCCCAACTCAGTATTCCCTTTTTAGGGACTTGGTGGGAGTCACAACACTTACAGTCCATGTTTACTCAGGGACTCACACTCAGAGCTTTCCAGGGATGAATTCAAGCAACAAATTAATTCAAAGGTTGGTGTTGTTATTTCCATCTAACAGAGGAAGGAGAGGTTTCACCCAGAGGGTGAAGCCCTTCCCAGGACCCCAGTATTCTGGGAGTCGATTCTGGCAGTTGGGTCTCCATTTTCTGTCCTTAAACCCAATGCTACACTACCTCTGTATCTTATAAGTCATCTCTGGGTGCACCTTTCTGTATTTTCATATTAAAAAAAACAAAACAAAACAAAACACCAATAAGAGATTTTTCAATTTAAAAGGAAAGCAAGACTGCCTGCTGGCCCAGCTGTTTCTCCAAGGCATGAGCAAGACCAGAGGTCCCTTACCTGCAGGATCCCACACACTCACCTTGCAGATTCGGGCAACACGTGACACGATGGTATTCTCAAAGAACTCGAACTCCTGGCCAGTCTCGCTGAAGAAGAAGTAGATCTTGTCATCGTCACCGTGGGAACTGCCCAGCCTCTCGGGAATATAGGCCGAGGCCACGAAAGCAGGATCTGTGGGGGCCGGATGGGAGCACAGAGTCAGAGAGGAACCCCAGGAATGTCCCCTCTGGGAACAGAGACTGCCCACTGGGCAGGAAGGAACTTCACCTTGCAGCCAGTTGAGGGAGCTCTCGGTCTTGGTGGGGCGCGGGCTCTGGCTGCGGGAAATGGCTGGGTCATTCCCCTGAAAGCTGCTGACTGTTCCTGTGTAGAGCTCCCCATCTGCCAAGAAAACGTTCCCATGGGAATGGCTGCCCTGGCTCACTCTCCCAGATGGGGGCCCAGAGGAACCCCAGCACCATCCATCCTGCCTGCAGTGGACAGGGAAGGAGCAAGAACTTGGAAATGTTAAACCCAAGGGTAGCCCATGGTCACGCTGTCACCCCGGGAAATCTATCTGCACAACAAGACCAGCAGCTCAGGCCTGGGACCCGCCCGACACTCACCAACCACCAGGGCTGTGGACTTGAAATTGGGGTCAAAGGGACAACGGCCCTTGCCATCTTCCAGGAGGACATTTCCCGCCTGGTCCCGTGCCAGGGTGAAGTTCTCCACGCTCTGCAGGGTGACAGACAGGAGGGTTCAGGAGGGCCAAAGAAGGCGACGGAGTGGGAGCAGCCAACAGAGACCAGAGGCAGGAGCAGGGCATGGGACAGGAGCGCACAGGTGTCAGAGAGGCCGTGATCCTCACCTAACACCAGCTCAGTGCTGCCTGCTCTGCAGGGGGCATTGTTGGCCCATTTACCAGAAGGGAGGTGAGAATCAGAAAGTAATTAAAACAAGCCAAGCCACGTATTTCCAACTCTAAAGCTGGGGATCCACTCCTGGCCCCCAAGGCTGCCCTCTGCTAGAGGAGGAGGCTGGGGTATGTGCTGAGCAGGGCATACAAGGTGACTGAGCAAAGGCAGGGGACAGATGCTAGCAGGCAGGAGGCAGGTCCAGGTTCCTATACCTCAGGGCTCTCCAAGGAAGCCTCCCACCAGTGCCAGAGAATAGTGCCCAGGGCAGGAGGAGTGGCCCAGGGCTAAGAGCACTCACAATGTAGGCACACAGGGGGCTGAAGGCTGCTGTGCCACAGGTGAACAGGTGGCTGCTGTTGAGTGGCAGCAGAATCTTGATGTAGTTCTGACAGTCACGCTAAGGAAAGAAGGGAGAGAGTGAAGGCCCAGTCCTCCTCCCCAGGCCCCTGGCCAGGTCTAGGGGCAGGGCTGCTGCTATGGGGACCTTGGGCTGGGGCACTCAAATCTGGGAACAAATGAGGGGGCAGGAGCTTCCTGCAGGGAGGGGCTGGCAGTGCGCTGCAGGGGGCCTCGGGCAGCAGCTACTCTGGGGTTGGTAGCGGTCTCTTCTGCCTAGCAGGTGAGACGTGCCCGAGGGGGAAGAGGTACCCTCTTGGGATCTCTCCAGAGCTCAAGGCCCTTCCAGAGGCTCAGGGGAGACCAAAGGTCCCTCCTGACCAACTAGGGAAGAAGGCATAGCCCAGAGCAGGAGGAAACACCTAGCCTGAACCCTGAGCTCCAGGCATACATCACCTGAGACAGGCATCTCCAGCCCAGACCACTCCCCAGCCTTTCCTCCTGAGACCTTTCCACCCTTCTACCGGCAACTCCATCTCCTCAATATCTTAGGCACTAGGACTGGTGCTCAAACCCCACAGTTTTCCACCTTGAACTAGTGGCTCCATCCTCAAACATGTCTGGAACCCAAGCACTTTTCCCCGCCTTTACTGAATTCCGGAACAGGTCGCAGTCACCTCTTGCCCCCCGCACCAGCCTCCTCCTGTCCTGTCCTAAGGAGGCTACTCTAGCATTCTGGGCAGTTGCCCTTTAAAGCAAAAGGGGACCACGTCACTTCTCTGCTCAGAGTCCTGTCCGTTCCCACATATGTCCCAGTCAACTCCTCAGTCTCCTCAAGCTTGGCTCAAATGTCTTTGCTTTTTTGTGGTACTAGGTATCAAACCCAGGGCCTTAGCCATGCCAGGCTCAAATGTCTCTTTTTCAATTAGGTATAACCTGAACCCTGTTCCTCCCCGCCTTTTTTTGAGACAGGGTCTTGCTTTATACCTCAGGCTAGGCTAGAACTTGCGGTCTTCCTACCTCAACCGCCTTTTAAATTTATTTTTTTGCTATATTTGTGTGTGTGTGTGTGTGTGTGTGTGTGTGTGTGTGTGTGTGCATGTGTACTAGGGATTGAAGCCAAGTCCCCTGCACTGAGCTCTATCCTCAGCACTTTTTTTTTTTTTTTTTTTTTTTTTTTTGAGATAGGGTTTTGCTTAAATTTCCCAGGCTGGAATAGAACTTATGATCTTCCTGCCTCAGGCTCCCAAACTGCTAGGATTACAGGTGTGTAGCACTACATCTGGCTTGGTTGTTTTCTCTTTTCCACAATTATATCTTCATTGCCTGAAGCAGAGGGGCACAGAATAAGTATTTAGGTGATGCTGGGACATAGCTTGGTGGTAGCACACCTGCCTGGCATGGGCAAGGCTCTAGCTTTGATCCTGAGGGCCACAAAAAAGAAAAAGGTAGACCAAGTGGTTAATAAGTGTTTGCTGAATACAGATATAGCTAATCAGGGACAGCCAGGACTTGAACCTGTGTCCTAACCCCCAGTGTGATGCCCTGACTGCCACCTTCAGAGCCACGAATCCTCTAGAGATAGTGGGTGTCCCCCAGGGGAACTCTAGGTTGAGTAAGACTCCAAACCATACCAGCCTCATCAGACTTGCGACACCAGGGACCACCTGAAGAAGGACACAGCTACCCACCCCTGCTCAGGATGGAAGCTGATGTTTACTGAGGTTTATGTGCCTGGTGCCTTACATCTATGAGCTCACTGCATCCAGAGGAAGCCCAGTGATATAGGCGTGTCTTTGTCCCCATTTTACAGGTGGGTACACTAAGGCTGGACAAGGTCAATCCACTCTATACTCCTAGAGATTCTAAGTGGGGAACTGGAATTCAAATCTAGATGTGGGCACTGCAGAAGCTTGTGCCCACTCCCACCTCCTGCCTCTACTGACCTGCTCTACCCAACCTGTCAGCCCGGACGCCCCACGGCTGGCTCACCTTCAGGTCCTTGCCCTTGAAGCTGCACTGCTGCTTCCGGTCTGCATCCGCGGGCCATGGCAGCTGCAGGAGAGGGGATAAGTGTGGGTGCCACAGGCCGCACCCCTCACCTGCCCACATACTGGCAGGCAGAAGGTCGGCTTCCTGCTGTCCTTCTGTCTGCTAGGCCAGCCCTGGACCTGCTCACCTGCTGGTACTGCCCACCCGGTAGGAAGCTGGTGCTGCTGTTGAGTGCAAAGAGGGTCTCCCGGGCGCCCACATACAAGGTGCTGCCATCTTTGCTCAACAGAAGGGCTGTATAGTTGGAGACGTTTTCGGCTTTGAACTTGAGGATCGGCCGCTCTTTAGAGCCTGGGAGCAGGAAGATAGGTGTGACCTAGGTCTCCCAGGAGAAACCTCTTACACAGACCTCTGGAACAGCCAGGTTAATAGAAGGTGGCTGGTCATCAAGGTGGTAGGTGGCCAGGAGCTGGTGGTGGGGTGGGAAGCAGCATTCTGGAACTCTCAAACATTATTTAAGAAGCAATGGCTGGGCATGGTGATGCATACCTGTCATTCCAGCACTTCGGAGGCTGAGGCAGGAGGATCACCAAAATTCAAGGCCAGCCTGAACTACACAGTGAGGCACTGTCTTAAGAAAGAAAGAAAGAGGCTAGGCATGGTGGCGCACGCCTGTAATCCTAGCACTCGGGAGGCTGAGGCAGGAGGATCGCTGTGAGTTCGAGACCAGCCTGGGCTACACAGTTGAGTTCCAGTTCAGTCTCAACTACATAGTGAGACCCTGTCTCAAAAACCCAAAAAAAAATCACTATTGCCAGCAATGCACAGAGACATTATGTAAAAGGATGTTAATTACAGCACTATTCACATGAACGAAACAGTAGAAGTGGCCTAAGTCTGATCCTAGAGGTTGATGAAAATAAATGATACTCCATTCTGTGGAACACTACCCAGCTGGCAACAAGGATGCTATATTAGAAAAACTAGAACAAAGCTGTACAAGAGAAGCATGGTCAAAATATGGAGCAAGCTGAGTACATAACAGAAAAAAGGAAAATAGATTATAATACTCTCCTTGAGTGGTACTGCACCCAAAGAGAAGGAAATGAGCTGGATGTGACAGCACACGCCTGTCATCCCAGCACTTGGGAGGCTGAGGCAGGAGGATTGCTGCAAGTTCGAGGCTAACTGAGGCTACACACTGAGTTCAAGGGCAGCCTGCACTACATACTGAGACCCTGTCTCCAAAAATGGTGAAAAGTAAAAAAACTGCCAAGAGAAGCAAATGCTTGCACAGTGCACCCCCAGCCAGGTACTGTGCAGAACGCAGCTCATTCTGGTGGAGTAAGCAAACAGAGCCCTGGTCTTCAGCTGACTGCCAGTGTGAGGCGCTCCTGGGAGAATGGTGATTACTGAACAGGACGCAAATATTATCGGCCTCGAATCCCGACACCACGATGCAGTGGGGCGATGGGGCGGAGTGCAGCTAAGGAAGAGTAGAAATTTTAATATCTTCCCCAGTGAGGAGGGTCAGACAAGAGGTATTCAGTGATTAGGGTGTGCTCAGTCCTCTGGGCTTGATCCCTAGTACTGAAAAATTAAAGCAAAAACAGGATTATACCAAACATTAAAAAAACAAGTAGACCTGTGGTGCCTACAATCTAAGCTATTTGAGAGGTTGAGGCAGGAGAATCACAAGTCGGATTCCAGTGTGGATAACTTAGTAAGACCCTGTCTCGAAATAAAAAAATAAAAAGGTCTGGGAATAGAGTGGCCTGGGTTCAACCCCAATTTCACACACAAAAAAAGTGATTTGACGATGACGATGACGATGACGATGATTATGGTGCCTGTTAAACACATGCTGTACCACTGCACTATACCCTCAGCCCCAGGGTATTATTAAATCCAAAGGAGAGCAACAGAGGAAATAAACACCGTAGCAGAATACTGTGTGTTGGGAGGAGGCAGGGAAAGGTGCTAGGAAGCCACATTTCTCTCAGCAGCAAGTCAGGGAAGTCAGACATGTAAAGAAACAGCACACAGGCATTTTACTTTACAATACAGAGAAACTCGCCGAAGAATCTTAAGGGACTGCTAGAGGCCCCTCTTAGCCAGGGCTGGAAAAGACCGACAATAGGTTTTGCTCTTTACAAGGTATCCTTTTATGTTTTTATAAAAAAGTGTGCGCATGTACCCCTGATACTAAATTTAAGTATTATTCCTTGTTGCAGAATATATAATAATTAGGACAGGGGATTTAGCTCAGTGGTTCTGACGCCTGCCTCCCAAGCACAAGGTCCTGCACAAGCACAAGGTCCCAAGTTGGATCCCCGGGACCAAACCATGAAAAGAGATACTAAATATCTATTACCAAGCGAAAATGTAAGTTATAAAATAGTACATGTAGTCAGATTCTTTTATTCTGTGTAAAACCCCAGAACACTTTATCACAAAATGCTGAAAAATGGGTGGGGTGTAACGGCACACCCTGCAGTTCCAATGACTCTGGAGGCTGAGGCAGAGAATCCCAAGTTCAAGAATAGCTCAGGCAACTGGAGGGGAAAAATAACTGAACAAAAACAAACCCTGAAAAATGGGTTCCTAGTAGGATTACAGATAATTACTGGCAATTTATTTTCCTTTTTATCATTTTTAGAATCTACAAAAAGCTGGTTATATGTGTATAAAATGAAACACATAAACTAGAAAGAAAGAAGGAAGCATACCCACAGGGTATGTTTATGCTCTGAATTACTAAAGAATTTGAACAGAAATTATTTTTAAAATGCTAAGCAGCTGATAAGAACAGAAAAACAAGCCTGGTGTGGTGGCACACGCCTGTAATACCAGCACTCAGGGGGATGAGGCAGGAGTATCGCTGTGAGTTTGAGACCAGCCTGGGCTACATAGTGAGTTCCAGTTCAGTCTCAACTACATAGTGAGACCCTGTCTTAAAAAAAAAAAACAAGCGAAAGGAGCCCCCAGACTGTCAGGTACATCTTGACTGACCGGTGGATTATGACTGTAAAAACAGCCCCCTGAAGCCCAGGAAGCAAGAGTGGCAACAGCCACAAGGCAGTGGTGAAGACAACTGCATGTGTGTCTACATGTTGAGATTTTTACGTAACTTCAGCCTGGTTCCAAAGGGAGTGGAAACCCAAAGGGAAGAAAGTAATAAAATATAAACATTAAACTCAGGTGGCAGACAAAAAAACATCTGAAAATGACATCTAAACCAGAGAGGAGGGAAAGATTCACACTGTGGGACATAGGCCTTCACACAGCTACTAGAGATGGGCAGCACAATTAGCACTGAGCCTCCTGGTGACCAAAGAGAAAAGGGAAATTAAGTAACTTTGTCCTCACACTCTTGCATACACCTCAAGGCTGAATGACCTCCTCTGCCTGGGCAAAAATTCTGGAACAATCCCCATCACCTGCACCTTACACCATGAGCCAATGTGTGTTTGCCCTTCTGTACTCTTCTCCCGAGAAGAGCCACTGTCCTAAGGAGGCCCTCCTTGGTCACTGCAGGACCCCACTGTGAAGGGGCCATGCTAAATATGCTGCAGATGCTAGCTGCATTCATGAAGCAGGGGCTGTTTTATGTCCGGTTTTCAAATGGGGAAATCAAAGCTCAGAGAAGCTAAGCACCTTCAGCAGAACAGGAACTGGAGTGGGAGCCTGATGCAGGTTTCTTGGAAACCGCGCTCACCCAGTGCGGAGTGCAGCGAAGTCACTTGGGATCCAGGGCTGTCTCTAGAGCCTCTGATGCTGCTGGTCTGGGTCCAGAGCTGAGAAGGAGCAACTTCCCCACCTCACAAAGAATTCTAGAGCAGATGTCCATGATTTAAGCAGGACCTCTGGCAGGGCAGGACAAAGGCCAACTTGGGACTCACAGCAGTTTCATGGAACATCAGTGAGACCAGGGCAAATCACTACTGAGCCCCCTTAGCTCTTGCTTCCCCAATGTTTCTGGGATGCACAGGGCTGCCGTCTTCCAATGCCAGTGCCCGGCTGCTACACCAGGGTGGGGGGGGCACACCCACCTGGACGGGCCTGCCATTCCCAGCGGGAGGCTGCCCCTGGCACCTATCCAGACAGAAATGCCAGGCGCCAGAGATAAGCTGAAGTCCCAGGTGGCAGCATCACTCTACTCAGACCTGGCAGGATGGTGGCAAGCTGCCCAGGGTCCCACCGATAGAGCCCAGCCAGTGTAGCCACCCAAACAAGTCGCCTGCCACAGAACCCGCACATCTCCCCCAGCCACACTGGGGACACTGGGACAAATGACAGGACAGAACATAGAATGTGGGGGAATTGCCCTCCACCCTCCCCAAGTCATAGGGTGCTGACAACCTTGGCCACCAGAGTCCCCTGGCTCAGTCCATGGGGCTGGCTTCCCCATCGGGAAACTCAACAAGACAGAGTGTGCAAAATGCAGTCAGGACTGAGATTCAAATCCAGCCCCTGCCACTTGCTAAATTTTTTGTTTTGAGACAGGGTCTTGCTCTGTACCACAGGTTGTGCTTGAAGTCACTACCTAGCCCAGACCGGCAGTGATCCTCAGCCTCCTGTGTGCTGTGATTACAGGTGTTTACCACCATGCCTGGCTTAAACCAAGTAATTTTTTAAAGCCTCACTTTCCTTATCTGTAAGATGGGGATAATAATAGCAGCCTGGCTCACAGGGCTGTGACTGAATGAGTGTATGCATAAATAAATAACATAATGACCCACATTTACTAAGGGCTGTACTCAAAACAACTTTGCACACGTTATCCCTGCATTGGCACAGCGTCTGGCACACGACCAGCACTTGAATGGATCAAAAACAAAACCCAAAGCCCTGCAGGAAAATCCAGCCTGGGTGAGCAGTGCCAGCAGAGCAGGGCGGTAGGGCACCAGCTCCCTCTGTGACGGCACAGCACCCAGCCGTGCCACCCTGACCGTACCTGAACTCGCTCACACAGGGGCTCCGGTCAAAATGGCTCAGAGACGGGTGTCCCACGTGTGAGGGCCTACGCACCTGGGTGCCTGAGTCACCTCCAGGGTACCAGAGTGACAACGCAGCTCCTGCCTGACCTTGCCCATGTGTGTGTGCGTCCACGAAACTGCAGGGCTTGTCCCTGCCCATGTGCTCACTCCAGGGCGCTCTCTGTGCAGATGACAGTGTGGCATCACTGTACCTGCCCCTGCGGTGGTCACTTTTACGCTATTCTCTATTGTGCCTCAAATGCCAAACAACCTGTCCCCTGCGTCTCTGAAGCTGCGTGAGCTGTTCAGATGCCTCCAGACCCATCTAGCCGTAGCTGACTGTCCTTTCCCATCACCCTGGCAGGCCTAGGCCGGACCTCTCCAGGGCTAGCACCCCTTGGGGCAGCTACTTCCCAGGGAAGGAAGGTGTTCCCCATATCAATCCAACCAGGAGGGCATGCTAGGCTGGGCACACAGGGGCGTGGGCTCATGGCAGGAAGTGACAAGGGAGCGACTCAGCCCCCAGCCCCATCTTGAGTGTCTCCCTGTCCCTGTGACTCAGCCGGAAGCTTGGAGCTCTCTGGGCTGAGACGGGAAGAGGGCTCAGCACCATCCCCACCCTGGGCAGTCCCCACCCCAGGCCAGCCAGCGAGCTGGGGCAGTGATGTGACTCAGAGCCACACCCTACCTTTCTCTTCTGTGGCGAGACGCTGACCTGGCCCTCACACCCTGCCCTCCACAGGCCACGGCATGATGTGGCCAGTGATGGGGTCAGTGGACGGGGGGGCCTGTGATGAGGAGGAAGCCAGGATTCCCCTTCCCCCACACAGAGGGTTAGGGTGAGGACAATTTTCAGAGACCACATGCCAAGCCAAAGGGATCACGGCTATGCACACCAGCAGGAGTACCACCCCACACTGCGTGCTGACTGGGCTAGTCAGCACAAACTAGGGCACAGCCAGTGACCTGGGCACACTTCCGCTCCCCTAGGATGTAGGAGCACCAAGCCACGGGCTGGTTCTGCCATCATCAGGCCAGGGCAGAGCACAACCAGGAGGAGGGCTGAATGTGTGCTCAAAGTCCTTCCCATGGGGCAGATAAGAAAGCACTCTGGTAGCCAGGCAAGGTGTTGTACACCTGTAACTGCAGCACTCTGGAAGGCTGAGGCAGGACGATCTCAAGTTCAAGCCCAGCTTGGGCAACTTAGTGGCTTGAGACCTTCTCTCAAAATGAAAAAATAAAATTGGCTCAACCCCCAATACTGAAGGAAGAAAAAGAACGGTAAGCATTGGACTCCTGGGATCAGTGTACCCGGGAAAGCCTCCTGGCTGCCCATGCCATGGCCCATGTGAGCTGGCCAATGGCCCATCAGGACCCCAGGTGGCCTATATGTTGTGGGTTCCCTGTCACAGCAGCACAGGCTATGGCCACCACCTCAGTGCCCCCTGGAACCATGGCTAACTTCTCCATTCTTCTCCCCAGAGTCCACCCTTCTCTGAGGGTGAGTCCACACTGAGGCCTCTGCCCACAGGTCCCCCTTCTTCCTCTTAGTCCAAGGACACTGGAGCCGCCAGGCACAAATGACCTCATCTGCAGCCTCAATTTCCTCAGACACCAAACTCAAAGTAGTTTGCATCAGTGTCCATTCTAGAAACTTCTGCACCTTCCTTCACTCCTTAGGCAAACTCCTAAAGAGCAGCAGAACCCAGCTGTCCCTACTCCTTCCTCCCCACTCTCCTCCAAGGGCAGGCCCCACACTGGCAGGGTGGTGGGTGGGTGGGTGTCAGCCCTCCAGAGCCAGGGATGGCCTGGCCCAGTCTGTACCCCAAGAGTTTCAAGGATCACTCCACATCTCTCTCGTGCCCCTCTGGGCTTCCATCCCTCCATATATAGTATTTTAGCACCTTCGGTGAATTAAGTCACATAATCCTCTGAAGATGGTAATGGGGTCAAACTTTTGGTCACCCTTTTTCAAGGAGGAATTGGTGGAGTTAGGACTGGAACCTGTGTCACGCTCTTCCAAGTCTGTTACTAACCACCTTTCACCTCTCAGGATTGTGCTCTTAAGGCTTCTTTCTCTCTGGGGTTGGCCACTGGCCCTACACCTCTCACTCTGTAAACCATATCTATGTCCCCACTTCCACCATGCTGAGGCTCTGACCCCAAACCTCTCTCCCAGGAGACCCCCTGTGAATACCGCTCACCACTGCCCCTTCCAGTCACCTTCTTGGCTTGACATCTAGTGTCTCTGTGACCCCCCACTGTTACCACCCCCCTCCCCCACTGTGACTGAAAACACAGAACCCAAGGTCTTCTCTGTCATCTCTAGCCACAGGCCATACAGTTCCCTCTGTCCACAAGGTCCTTCCCTTTGACTCACTCACATGTACCCTCTGAGACTCAGCCACTCCACATCCTCCAAGAAGCCTACCTGGATCTCTAGCAGGGCACCAGCCCTTCTCCAAGTGCCCATTGTTTCTGTTCACACCTCCCACGGTGCACAGTGACACCGTCTCTTCCACCAAGCCAAAACACTTTGAGCATCGAGACCAAGTCTTATCAGCATTTGTAACAGGTGAGTTACAAGGAATTTTGTCATAAATTTTTTTTTTTGGTACCGGGGATCGAACTGAGATCCTTGCACTTGCAAGGCAGGGGGTGGGACCCCTGAGCTAAACCCCTGGCCCACAAATGTTTGTTGACTAAACAAATGAATGACAGAATCCTTCATGATGGTGTGCTCTGGTCCAGAGAGGGACCCCAGAATCAAAAGGAGGCAGGACACGAGCCACAGGACAGCAGAGATCCACATAAGAACCTGACTTTATCACTGACCAGCTATGTGATCCCAGCAAGTCAGTTCCCTTGTCTGAGCCGCAGGCCTGTGAGACCACTGGGGATAGAGATGGTAGATCTCTGCACCACACGGGTTTGGGGTCACAAACAAGCAGGTTTGGGGTCCCACCTCTTGCTGTCTTCCTTCACCACTGCCCTTGCCCTACTCCTTGCTCCCATGTGAGATGGGCAGCCAGCTTTCCAGGGAAATCGCCCACACCCTGACCACCTCGGGACAGCCACTCCAGTAGGAAGTTGGGGACAAGGGAGAGGACGGCACAGGCACCTGGAGGCAGGAGCAAGCGCCTTTGTGAAGGTGGCTGCTGCTGAGGACCAGATGCTTGTTCTCTATGGAGGGGGCCCAGCCTTGCCAAAGTTCCAAAAAGCCAGAAATCTGGATTTTTATATAAAATTTCCAAAGTTTTAAATATCACTAATTAAAATTTTTCTAAGTCACTTGAAGGCCAAACAAAATATATGTCCGGGTTGGCTCTGCCCCAACCCCCACCCCAGTCTACAAACTCCTGTCTGAGACATCTGCTCTGTCTCTGGGTACTGCATTCCCAGTCATATCTGCCACATTTCCAGCCTTGGCCATAGCCTCGGGGGGCCTCAGCTGGCCCCCAAACCCTGTTCAGAAATGACCCCAGATCGCTTTACCAGATGGGAGCTATAAGCTCTGCCAGGCCTCTGACTGCTTTGGTATAATTTGCAAAAATAGTTGGGGAGGGGCTTTAGCTCAGTGGCACCATGCCTACCTGGCAAGTGAAAGGTCCTGAGTTCGATCCCTGATTTTAAAAAAAAAAGAAAGGCTCTGGAGTTTGCCACACAAGATAAAGTAACACATCGCCACGTGCAAAAACAGCATACCTGGCACTGCCGGCACTGCCCAACAGGCGGGTTTCCTTCTCCATCAGCCCTCTCCTGGAGGACAGGCAAGAGGGGGTCAAAGGGAGGATATGAGTTGATAATTGGCCCATTTTGGTTGTGGCAGAACAAGGGCTTCTGTCTCTCACCACTGTCCTGCGGAACCCCCTTGCCATTGGCCCCCTCTCGGAAACCCGCTGTGCTAGAGGAGCGGCTCCCAGTGACCCACAAGTACAGAACACAGAAAAGGCCAGATCACAGGCTCAGAAAGCAGAACTCCATGAGGCAGACAAAACACCTCCCCTCTGTGACCCTAACACCCAGGATGTCAGACAAGACAACGAAAGCCTGGTGCCCACCGCCCTCCACCTGTTACCTCACTGCTACCTCCTTCCCGGATTTGAGGGCCAGAATAGCAGCTGTGCCACCAAGCGGCAGAGGGGCGTGGCTGTACCCCTGTGGTGAGATGGTCACGTAAGAGCAGTGGCTTTATAAAGAGTCAGACACAGTGGTGCATGCCTGTGATCCCAGCACTCTGGGAGATTGAGGCAAGAGGGCTACAAGTCCAGGCCCAACCAGGTGCCTCCAACACTGTGCAAGCCTCGAGCTCTCCAGGGCTGGCACTCAGGCCTTGTTCAAGCTGGGGAGTGGGACAGGGCAGTTCAGCCCTAAGCAGAAGCAATCCCTGGAACAACAGTGTACTTCTTCAGAGCAGAAGAAACAGGAGCACTTGAAAAATGGGCTAAATTAAGCAAGACCCTGGGAATGACTGACTACCAGCCAGCCCTTAGGGGCCTTGCTGTGATTTCTATGCCAGGGCAGGGTGGGGCTGCACTCCTTGGCCCCTCCTGTGGGGTCAGCGCCTTCGCCCTTGGCACCTCGAAGAGAGCTGCACACAGCTAGCACTCAGGCAGCTAGCACCAACTTGGTGCAAATGAACTCACCAAGCCAGGTGGGTAGGAGTTGCTAGCACAGCAGAACAGATACTGTTCTCCTCCACAGGACACAGCGCGTGCCAGGCACCATGCCAGACACTTTACATACATTATTCGTGTAATCCTTTTGGAAGCCAGGAGTTGGGTCCTGCTTGCACTCCTATCATGCCAACCTGAAGACAGGCTTGGG